AGATCTGAAACCAGAATCAAGTTTTCCGACTAATTACATCGATAGGTGTCAACATATCGAGAATAAGGCGTTTCGATGCAATACATTATTTTTTTACTTTATTTTGAAAACTAAAGCAAAAAGAGAGTGATAGTTATACTTTTAACAATATATCGCCATGGCACTACTAAGGATGATTGCACAATATGATCGCAACCAGTCTATCTAGTCTATCCAGTAAATATCAACTAACAGTAACATTACAATGTTATAATTTCTAATTGAACAATATAACTGTTATATATAAAGCATGTTATATTAAATTTATATTATGCTGAATGAGAAATTATGACATTGATGTGTAATATTACTGTTAGTTGGTGTTTATTAGACTATGATCGGGCCTTGAAATGGATAGCTAATCAGCATCGCGGCAAGCAAGCAACAAAGCGATAACACATTTTTTAAAAAGAAGATGAACGTTCTCTTCTACTGTAATGATAATATTGTACATTATTTTGTAATATTCAGTTGCATCTTGATATTAAAACAGTCAAGGTGTATAAATTTCCATGACAGCCTCTTGCGATGATTCCGATGTAAACAATGACTCTCATTGAGATCCAAATATCCAATCGGCATCACTGGAAAGAGGCAACAACGAGATAACACTTTTTCTACGAGAAAGCAAAGATCGAAGTATCTATTTCAACCGAAGAAACGTCTGTTAACGTAGACTGTTTTTGCAGTGGCACTTCTAGGTATCCTTAAATTAGCTTTCGAATTAGTGTCGCGTTCTTCGTGAACTGGTTCTTCACGTTTCATAAACATTTCAGTCCGCTTCTTCGGGGAGAGGCACGACCCGAAACCGTCGCACGGAACGGATCGTTCTTCTCTCGGAAGAAACGAACTGAAATATTTACGAAACGTCGAAAACAAATTCACGAAGAAAAATGTGACATTAACTCGGAAGCCAAATATAAGCATTACTCCATATTGCGGGAACCTAAAATATATGGAGATACCTTTGAATTGACGTATTGAATAAAAAAGTTGCGACACACAAGAAATATTACAAATTCTATTCTTTTCAAAGAAAAAAATAATTTACTGTAAGAGCCGAAGAAGCACAGCTGTTTAAGCGCTTTAAATATTAATATCATTCATATTAATGCCTGCGCGGGAGGATGATGGTAAAGTTTGGCCGTATATTTTAGCACTAAAACTCGGTTACATCAACTCCGACTAAGTTAAGCAACGATTAATTTGTAGGATTGCAACTGAAATTTCTAACTTCTTCTCTTTCTCAATTTATTCTGCAACCGAAATTTCACTCGGTGACTCTGCAAACTAATCCTCGCTAAGCTTAATCGAAGTTTGGTGCAATCTGGTTTTAAACAACCATGCATCGGCTCTTATTAGGTTAGTTAATTATTCTTTCTTGGATTAAAAGTCCAAAATAGCAAAGCTATTTCAAATATTAAATTATCTTCTTTATTATCTTTGTTTTCAACGTTTCGTAAACATTTCAGTTCACTTTTTAGAGAGAGAGGAACGAGCCCCGTTCTATAACGGTGGTTTCGGGCCATTCCTCTCCTCGGAGAAATGAACCGAAATCTTTACGTTTTCTTACGAAACGTGGGCCAGTTAATTATTCTTTTTCGGGTTTAGTCCAAAAGCAGAGCTATTTTAAATATTAGATTATTTTTTTCACTCGCCAATTTCCGCACTGCGTCGACCCGATTTTCCCCCGTGTCCGTCTCTCTCTCTCTCTCTCTCTCTCTCTCTCTCTCCACTCGATTGTTTATTATATCATACGAATTCGCGGCTTTTTATCGCTCGACTGTGATGATATCACACGACCGCCGACGTCACAGCGCAAATTCAGTGCAAGATCGATTAACAACGATATACGGCTCGATTTCTGTTAGACAATACGACAGGCATGGTATCGACGATTCATCTAACCCCGCAATATTTATAGATCGCACACGCGATCACCAATAAGCCGTGATGCAGTGCGCGAGTGATAGCGTAATCTCTACATCGATACATAATAAGCCGAGAGCGAGGCAGCGGCAGGATACAATTATCGTTTGTTCGCGTTGATAAAATTTATCGTGTCGCCGCATGCAACAGCGATATAATTTCCGGATCTATGTTAATCCGATTGGCCGGCCGGCCGGCCAAAGACGAGACCCGGACTCGTACCTACCCTGTTACTGTATCAAGTGCCGTGTAATCTGAAGATAGAACCCGGAGACTGCCTATACCCTCCGAACTTCATGAATTATTTAGCACCACCAGGCGCGAAAGCCCCGTTTATTAAAGCCAGGGAGCCATTCGGGCCTGATTTTCATAATTATGAAATACTCCAGCCGATCCGAATATACACGTCCGAATTAAACGCATGAATTTCTTACACTCAGATCCCGTATATGATATATATCGCGTTCGATGCGCTCCCGCTTCGCGAACGTCACTGCCGGATTTCCCCGGCGGTTCTTGCTGACTACTTCGAGCCACCGTGTATTTATCACACGTATCGATGAATGCGATGGGCTTTCGGGCTTTTTAAGCGCAAAATTATCAATCGTCGAAACGTCCTTTTCACCTCGTCAATTCGCCCTGCAAATCGATCGATAAAACGGGCGCGTGTCTGTCATTCCGTACGGAAGTCCATTGTCGTATGAGACGTCACGAAAATAGTAGCGACACGCATGTAAAATTACTATCACTGACATTATAGTAACACTTACTAGAAAAATGGTCCTCCCGACTCATAGTTCCTTCAAATATTCTTTTCTCAGCGTGGATCGAAATATTTTCAGATAAGAGACTTTATCTATAAAGAGTCGATCGTTTGATAAATCCATCTTTCCAGAGCAGACGCGGTATTTGGTCTCCTGTTTCGCCGGGCAAAAATTAATTCATGCGCACGGAGAGAAAAATTTTGCTTGAATTAACCAGAAAGCCATCATTATGGTTCCTGTAATCGCAGAAATTCTGTTCCCTCCGAGCAAAACGCGTTTGCAGATTTATTTGCAGATTTATTTGCTCGATAGTATAATACTGATCTACATTTGCACGTGGCTTAAGCTGCGGTGGGGTACCTTATTCATAAGTAGCAGTGGAACGCGAAAGCAGCGGCTGTCTGTGGCTTTCGTGCTGCCGCAGTGTTAATAAGTAACGTGACGTTTATGTACCAGTCAAGAATAATGCGGCGCTGCCCGACCGCATTACTTGGAGCGGAAGGGTTGAGCATTTCGCCAAAGCAAAAGCAACATCCGGTTGTCCGGCCGTGATAAATACAGAAATAGGTCCTTTTGATCGTGAACTCAGCCGTGCGTCACTGCCACCTGTAAATATTTGACGGACGAAGTTTTACGGACCGGGCTTTGGACAGGACTCCGTGATTCTCGCTGCCGCGGTTCCCTCGCCGCTCTTCCCGAAAGTCGAGAACGAGCTCGATTAATTTTCCAGGAGCGACTGTCCTTGAGGCAGGTCGTCGTTTCCGATTGGTCCGGGTCCCATAAACACTTCGTGCCTAGTGGACATTTGTCATACACAGGACAACGTTACGACGTCCTATTACTGGCCGACTTTGCTTTGCAGATGCGGCGGAATTTGCATGCGCCGGCGTAAAGGAAGTATGGCGGGTTACGTTAGGGAGGCACGAGGCCGAAGGCACGAGGATCTCTGTCGAGCGGATGAATTTTAAAGCGACAAAAGGCGGACGAACGTCACTTCGGTTATATGAATACCTCTCGGGAGGAGCCGGGGCGAAAAGAAAAGAAGGACGATCCGGAAGAACCCGTACGGCGAAGTTGCGCGCTTTGCGAAAACTTACGACCGATCTTGATAATCCTCGCAGCTGTGGTCGCTCGATCTTCCCGTATTCGAGTAATTCGATGGGTTTTCGAAAACTAGTTTCAAGTTCTAGGATCCCTGCGGGATCTCGCTAACGACACGGCAAAACTGTTACGATCTGGTGACGCTCTCGGGCGCGGGTTTTATGCTCCCCGAACTCCAGGGACCCTTATTCCGCAAATGTGTTTGTGCGTGCGTGCGTGCGTGCGTGCGTGCTGGAAAAAAAGAAGAAAAATATCTTCTCCATTTTAACACTTCGATTGCGACTCGACAATTCGGTTACATCTCTTGCTTGTTTCGTCTCTTTACCTTGTTTTTAGAGACGAACACGCTTTTCTTAAAAAGTTTCGTCTTTTTATCTGAATTATTCTTGAATTTTCTTTGCCTTTGTGGACTGCGAAAAATCTCGCAATTCCCGCGTGTTGGCCTAACAAGAAAAATCAGATTCTGCGATATTAACGAGTTTATTAATTAAAATTACAAATTTATCAACAGATATCTGACGTGTGAATATATGAAACGTTGCATTTTCCGCATTTTTACCTGAACTACATTTCCGATAATGTCTTGCATTTTGTATTTATGAGACATGTTTTCCGAATATATGTTTATATATAATACTCATACGTATATTGAACAAATATATTCAAAAAAACACACATATATATATATATATATATATATATATGTGTGTGTGTTTTTTTGAATATATATATATATATATATGTGTTTTTTTGAATATATATATATGGTGGGATACATTTTATATAACGATACTTCATATAAGTCAACCAGATCGTGATAAGGCTAGACTCGAGATTCTAATGGAATAAAATGAGGTGATGGCTATTTTCTTCCACGGCTCACGTGCGACAAGATTACACTGACGACATGATAATTAATCAAAGAAGCGATCGAGGTCAGATTCGCACTATTCGCTCTCCGCTATGTCGGAGTCGACCCTCTCAATCTACAACTGCGTAATCTTGACGAGATAATGTGATTGCCGCTCCCATACTACGAATTAATGTGAGTGAATGGGTAAGAGAGAGAGAGAGAGAGAGGAGGGGGAGGGGGGGCTAAAATAACACTGTAAAAATTATGAGATCGATCCAAAGTGAAAATATATATTTGCGAAAATATCGTTACAGTGGCAGCAAAGAATAAGCGGGATCTACGAAGTGGGATACGCGATATCCTTGGTAGCGCTATTACTTTCTTTAGGAATTCTCACGTACTTCCGGTAAGTTCGCAATTTATTGACGCCTTTATTACCAACGTTACGTCGGCAATATATGAGAATTTGTATCCATGCCGATACGATAAAGCTTTCCCGTTAAAACTCCAAAAGTTATTTCCTGATATATCACGTATGTTTGAGATCCGCAACAACAAATCAAATTGCTCACGAAAGGAGACGGCAGAACGGTAACATTTTTATTTATTTTTTTTTTCTTCTTTTCGGAACATTCTATAATAATTGTTGCACGTGCTCGAAAAAAAATATTGAAAAACACGTAAAATATTCGAAATCGCACCACGTGTGCACCACTCGTGTTGCTGTCCTTTATTTACAATGGAAATTGGTGGGCATGAATTGCCACGAAAAATCAAAATTCCGAAAACCGGGACAATTCCCCGAAAATTTATAATACCGAAATTCCAATACCAAGGCGATAGAATTTTCCCGGAGTACATAAATACGAAGAGGAGGAACCATTACCCCCAAAAACAGGTGAATCAATGCCTACACAGGTGTATCAATATCGATCCACTTAAGATACACTCTTGATGTATTCAAATAAATAGATACTAATGCCCGCTATACAATGACAGACCTGATATATCGGTAAGATAAATAAATAAAGAAAAAAACTTTTGTATTTCGGGAAATTGTCTCGTAATTCGGATTTCGATATTACGACTCTTTCAGAAAATTCTCTCGCCGCTTTTCAATTGTGATGCATTTTTCTTTTTTTTTTCGGAACAATGTGTGTCCACCAAATTGGCGATATATATATATATATATATATTATAGTAGACTATATAACTATGATACGCCTGCCAGAGATATCAAATTGATAAATCTCTGTCGGCGGTTTCATTTGGACGCCCATCTCCCCATATTCGCACTATTGTCCGGTGGATTTTGAGATCTCTCTCTTGCCGCTTCATAATACGAAATTAGGGCTCGCCGAGAGGCTTCCGATAAAAGCCTGTTGAAATCACCTTCTCTTGCTCGCAGATCTCTGAGATGCGCACGGATTACGTTGCATATGAACCTGTTCACTTCATTCGCCATCAACAATGCTCTGTGGCTGATCTGGTACAGATTCATCGTGGCGAATACGGACATACTACTTAATAACGGCGTACGTATCAAGGCTGTACGAGTACGATGAGATATTATCGTCGATTGGAGGATAAGAGATGCGCGAAGATACACTTGGAAGCCGGGAACATTAATCAGAGGAACGAAAACAGTAATTCCGCGCTGTGCTACCATCCCCGATATAACGTTATCTTCCTTTTTTATGTACATTTACCGAATACCGAATACCGGGAAAAATACAGCAATAATACGTACAACTCGAAGAAAAGTCGTACTTGCAAGAATCGCAAAATATCAAGATAAGACAAAAACAAGTTGATGTTTTACTTTTTTTACTCGAAGGATAAGAATGGAAGTTACACAGACCAGCATATGCGATGATATGATTAGGGCATTAAAATTTTCTAACCGTATACATTTTTAACTTCTTTATCGATCACTTAGAAAAGGGGGGTCGATACCAACACAATAATCTGACATTATGACAGCTTTACGTTAATGTCCAGGAAGAAATATAAATAAGCGGTTAAAAAATACTAATATTCATTATAAAACTAAAGCTAATATGTGTGCCTAAAGAAGATTGGAACCGAATTTACGTGAAATATAATATTGCCTCGTTTTCTTATTAAATATTTCTTATTAAACATATATTGCTCTTTTGCTCTTCATTTGACTATACATCTTAATAGCCCCAATTTGCAGGTTATATTTTACATTCGCCTTGTATTTTGGTTAATATATTAAAGCTATTACATCACCTTAATATCTTAAGGCCGGTCTGTGTTAATTAAACGGAATAATTGTGACATCGGGGCGAATGGTACGCCGGGATATTTCTCGAGTCACGAAAGTCCGATGGTGAAGTCGTGAAAGAAAGTAACGGCTATTCAATCGGACATTTACGCACGGCAATCGCAAGAAAACCGGTAATAACTGTCAATCGTATCATCAAGAGATACGAGTCGCGAGGATGTATGATATTTTGCAGCTCCGCGATGTCACAATTGCCCTGATTGACTTCTCGCGAGTGTGCGCAAGTAGTCGGGTAGTTTTGAAAGGACATTCATGAACTTCCGCGCTTTGCAGATACCGTGTCGCGTTTTGCACGTGCTCCTTCATTACTTTCTATTAACAAACTACGCCTGGATGCTCTGCGAGGGCTTCTATCTGCACACGCTGCTGGTAAATGCATTCACCAGCGAGCACAAATTAGTGAATTGGCTGATGGGACTCGGATGGCCGGTGCCGGCTGTAATCGTCACCTTGTACACAGCATTACGCGCCTGCAGCGACGATCTTACGGATACTGAACAGTGAGTAACTATTTGTCAATTCGCAATCGCCCTAAGACTACGTCATGAGCAGCATTTCACGAAGAGAGGGGGGGAGAGACAGAGAGAGAGAGAGGCCTTCATCATAGGGATGATGGTGAAAACTGAGAGAGAAAAAAATATTATGCGGTAAATTGAATTTTAAAGTCGATAAAGAAAGCTTTTATCGCGCAAAACATGGGGGAGGGGGATGGGGGAATAAAGTTACCGTTTGCGTTCACCTTCTCACCAATTTTTCGTGAGATTCGGATGAAATTTGCTAATAAAGTATTCGAAGGGACATCCTTCTGCGAGCGGACTTGAAGAGGAAAACCAAGCAATTGTAAATTTATTTATCGTTTTTTGGAATATCACGGTGTGTTAAATTTCTCTTTCCTGACTAAAGCACGGTTACGCAGCGTTATTATTATTAAATAGTTTCTTCATTTACAATGCCTCTTATTGAATTCAATAGAACTTCGCGGTCCTTGAAAACGATGGATAGCGTAGCTCGACAATAGGTTAGCGTATTTCCTATTAAACTTCTATTTGAGTTCGCGGCGTTGTGTTTGCAGGGGCGCAGCATTAAATGTTTTTCGATATTGAAGAAATATTGACTCGGGAAACTTGCGTGAGGCCGGCTCCAGATGGCAGATGTAAATTGATATTGGTCAAAAATTGGCTACGTAAATGTCAAGTGGCATAAAAATTTGCTCAAAGAAGAAAAGAAGGCACGAATCTAAAAATAAGTCGAGAATTCTCCGAGTAAAATTTCGCTGCAAATGTAGGGTGAAAGTTACACCGCTCAAAGTTCAGTGATTTTTCGTTTATACAGAGCGATGAATATTTTTTATCCTGAATCGTTGAGGAAATATTTCCACTCGAAATTGTAGAATTTCATTCACTGGCTTCACTGTCACGAATTCACTCCGATCGATCGAAATGTTCGTTTGTATGAACTAAGAACACAGAAATAAGTTTGAATTTACTTTAGCCAGGCACACTTATTTTCGAGTCTTTAATTCGACGCATTTCGGTCCGTAAGGCCGCTCGACTATATCGCCTTGCCATTTTCATTCTAATTCATATTTTTAAACTTGCAATCTGCGAGTTGGAAATATAGAGTCCAAATGAGAGGTTTTATTGATATCAGGTCAAAGAAACGATTTGGATATAAACGAAAATTTTCCTGATAAAAAAATTTTGTACAAAATTCTCAAATAATTTTGCAAGTGCGATTTAACAAAAGGCAATGTTCGTTCGTCGGACACCTGATACGCTTTAAGAAAAAAATAGTACGTGAAAACTGGAAAACCGGAAAACGTCCAGCAGTCCGTTCGCCGGACCGAAATGTGGCGGGCTAAAGTTAAACATTCACTTTGCTGTGTGTGTGTGTGTGTTTTTTTTTATTTCGAACGACAGTAAATTCGCTGTCGCTTCGAGTGACATTTCGCCCAAAGAAATCTAGAGCGTATCCCGCCGGTCGCGATTAGATACAACATCAGAGTTAAAGCCAAAAAGAACGGTCTGCCTCCAAGGACGGGATCGACGATCCATCCCGCCGAATTAAGAAAGCACTCGCTTTCGGTCTCGCGATAACAGCTCGGCTGTTCATCGGCTGCCCGGCCGGCGAACGAATTAAACGAGTCGAAGCGATGGTTTGAGACGTTCAAGGAGATCGTTGACCCATGGTCGCGCACCGCGTCGACTATGGAAAGGTAGTGCCCCGGTGGACGTTAATTTCTCAGCAAGAGGAGCATGTGGTCGGCCGGTCGGTCGCGTACGTGCTGGTAAAATTAGGTATGTCCGGTATCGTGAAACCACGGCGGCTAAATGCGCCGGGGCATAGGAGATCGAAACCACGATGCGACAATCATGTTACCGCTCCATTATATGCGACAGCTAGATGAAAACTGTCGATATACACACATCGAGAAAAAGGGACCGCTCCTGATACAAGCAAGATAACGCTCGCTCGGGCGGAGCGAATCGATATCGGGGGGAGAAGGGGGGAATTAACGAGACGTCCCGTTTGTTTTGCCGGATTAAAATAACTCCGTCGGATTAATACGGCGATAAATTACCATGTATTTCATTAGCTTCGCACGTTATTTATTCCCACCGGCGGTGTTCGATGAATTGTCGCGCGATCTTCCCCCATATGCGGAATATCACCCCGACGGATGATCATCGTTCGCCTCTACGTATCGATAAAAAAGTCGCGAAATGTACAGAGCCGTCATCACCGCCACCGTGATCGGAACTATCGACAGATATCGTCCTTTACAAATATATTTCACTGTTTTTGGCCCGCGAAAATTTTCGGGCTTGAGTAAGAAAGTAAATGGAAGCGGCTGAGCGAATACGACCGCGTTTTTAAGTAGGAAAAGAACTTTTTTGTTCGCAATAACAAGTGATTATAGCGGATTTGACATGAATATATCCGAATGGTGTTATTAATGTATTATTAAGTATTTTTAAGTAGGAAACTCGTACATTACTGTGTGAATTTGAGGTATGTAAAAGGACCATTCAACAACGTCACGCTAAATTTGAGTATCCCCCCCTTTCCTCCCCCCTCCCCCACTGATAAAGAAGAAAAAATATCTTGTTAATTATACTGTGGGTATATTGTGGGTAATAATGATTAGATTGCACGCGCTACTATCTTTTCCTAAAATACAAATAATTTTTAGGCATATAATATTAAATTATTCACTTAATTACTTTACTCTTGTAATTTTAATTAGTGAAAGCTGTGTTTTTAAAAGAAAAAAATATGAAGAAATTAACGTTTTAATTATTAACACGAAACCATGTATAAACTTGAAAATCTTCAAATCTTGAAAATGTAACCGAATGTGTCACTAATGCAAACAAAGTGGATAATGACGCGCGATATTACACGCATATTTATAAATTATGCCATGTAATGTGACATTCCATGACCTTTACTCCCCTCCCCCATCGCCACGCAACTAATAGACCTCCCCTCCCCTCATGGTGTGACGTAAATGTTGAATAGCTCTTAAATGTACAGTCAGCTACGAGTACAAAATATTTGTTTAACATTTGCAAGCGGTCGCGTTGCACATTTTGAAACAGCACGAGTAAATGCACGGCTCTTTAACGTGCTTCTTTCCGTATTGAAACGAAATTGAGTTAAAGAGGGAACGTATTAATGCGCTGTCGCTCATCGGCTGGAAAACGAGTATCGAAGACGGGCAATATCCTCGAAATAGTCACGCACGCTCGCGTATACTCGTCGTATTCTTTCGCTCAATAGACCTCGCGTGTTTGAGAGTGCAAAAACGAGCGTAAAGATGATGGAACGGATTAAAAACGGGCTGAGTGAGGAGTGAAAATGGCGTGATATTTTTGTAAGGGTTTGCACGGGATAGTGACGGTACATTTTGTGTAAGAGTACGGACAGACTTATCGCGTGAGCTGACGTTACGCAATCACAATTAAATCATTTAGAATCGCACACTGAGGCGGAGTTCCCACTTTGCTGTCAGTAGAACAACAGAGATGCGCGGAGATTATGCAAGAGGATGATAAAATTATGTAACGGACATGTTGTCAAAAGAATCGCGTTACAAAGAGGCGCGCTATTAAGGCTTCTGTTTCTTGTCTGCGACTCGACAATGGTGGCTCACGCGAAAGATCAGGGGTAAGTGTATGCAATCTGGGAGAACGCTTTGATTTAAGACCCTTCCGAATCGCACGTTCGACCTTCCTGTGAGAAACGAGCTTTTTATAGCCGGCGATAGAAGGATCACCTTACATAACTCACCCCGCGCTGGAACCTTTCCCCCCCCCCCCAGAAAAAGATACTTTCGCGGTGGCGGTAGTGTGCGTACCGTATACGATCCCGCCGTATATAAACAGACCGACCCATCGAGGCTGAATTTGTGTCTTACAAAGACCGCTGCAAGGATAATAGAGAAAGGTACAAGAATACCAAACGGGGTGGGGAAACATTTTCATACGTATTAAATTCAACGGGTGCAACTCGTCATATGTCTTCGCTTTCTTCTCGTGTTATGATGGGCTCGGGAAAGTGGCACGCTTTTCGTAACACTCACACGGGCGCTTCGCGTGGCTCTGAGTGTGTGTTATTTTTCAATTCGAGACCTAAAATGACGGAGCATCTCGGCTGATCTCTTATACATTCGTAATGTCGTCAGCCGAAATCACCGCTGTGATTCGCTGAGCCTCGTGCAAAGTTAATCGATGCGGGGAATATGCGACTTTAATTTTAAGCGAATGAAACACCGGATTTGAAATGCAGAGAGTACTGAACGGGACGAGATTACCGTTGGATCTTAAAATATAACGAGTTGAGCATGTGGATACGCTATAACGGGCCCCTCGGAATCCGATTTGGGAGATTTATAGGTTCATGAAATTAAATAATAAAACGCGGGTACTTTTCATATACGCCGTAATACGAGAAAATTGTCGGTTCGTGACGGCGTATTCGCCCTTTATGAGTATATTATTTTAACTTTACCAGGATTTATTAAAGTCGAAAAAAATGATGTAAAATTTTAATGATGTAAACATGACATCTATCGTGCGACGGGATTTTTCTTTCTCCTGTGGAATTTCGCGATAAAAGTTTATTCACAGTCGATATTCGTCGTATTTCGTTTTTCAACAATTATGCTCGAATTAAAGAAGAAAAATCGAAAATGTCTAAACGTGCACGTGTGAGTCAGTATTTCGGAAAAGGTGAAACGTAGCTCGTCCACTTTTTTCGGAGAACGATTCATTAAGAATCCTGCGCGCGCGCGCGCGCGCAAACGTGCTAATTTATTCGTATGTTTACAGCGTGCGAGCATCCCTTCAATAGAAACGGCACCTAAGTCGTGCGTTTCACAGGAATACAAGGCAAAGGGATCTCGCCAATAGAGGCCAATAGAGAGTAGGGCCGTGGCGGTAGTGCTTGGTAAATTTGTTCAAAGTAACTTAACGAAAGTGCCGCACATCTTGCAATAATAGTCCACCATTGAGAACGTCTCTCCGCACCGCCTGGCGGCAATGAGAACCTTATGGGCTCGTGCCGGTGTATCGGCCGACTTTAAAACTTTCACGGAGTTTGACGATTGAATGCGACACGTTCGGCAAATTTTAAGTACATAAGTGCATTAATCGACGTCGCTTCGACCGACGAGCGACACTTTTCACCCCCGACGCTCGTCGAAGCTAATGATCCTGCGAAAGTTTAGATATACGTGTTCACGCAAGCGAACCAGGCAAATATTTGCTCGCACGTGCTCTCTAAAGTAAATTCATGTGCATTTTCTCTGCGATATCATGTTTACAACTGCTCTGATTCGGTTATGATAATCGGTAAAGTCTCCCTGATAGGATCAGTTGACACGTTCCATGCTAGACCAATTTTGATGTGATGTGATTTTGATGAAATGTGACTTGTCGTCCAAACCCTGCGGGTTATCGGCGACCCACGTTGTCAAATTATAAGCCAAATTTTATTTATCATAGTATGTGCCTCATATATAATAATTATCAAAGTATTTTGTAACTACGTATCAAATAGTCCGAACGAAAGTGCGGGTCGCCGGTGACCCACGCAGTACGAAGTTTATTAACAGTAGCGATTATTCCCATTATTGATACATAGTTTGCGAACGCAAATATACAATCATGTGTGTCACCGTAGACGCACGGAAGATGTTAATTTCTTCACCATAAACGCGGAAAGCTGGACTTGGCGCTGCGTGTGACGAATTTCTGTACTACAGACTTTGCAGTGAAAAGTCTTCCACTGGCGAAAATAGGTGAAATTTAAGATAGAGGGGAATAAAGTGGGAGTACTTTTATTAACAATCGATGAATACTCATGATTATGAATACTCACTGATCATCGATGAAATACTCCTTTCAACCTGAAACATTCTCGTATTGACTTAATGTGTTAAATTGATATGACAATTTAATCGATGGAAAGTTGGCTCTTTTGTCCGTTGTCTTAATACATTCTTTCATTTTCATCCAAGAGCCTTAAAGTTATTTAATCGAGGTTCGTCGATTTATCTCAAAAGAAAGAGAGAGATAGAGTACTTACTTTTTTGATGGTATTATCATTCATTCGGGCCTGCAGGGTGAGTATTGATTCATATTTACAACCGATTTTAATTTTGCGCGTACCATTTAACGCGCCTTATATCGCAATACGCGATTATTTATTCGCAGTGCTTATTGCCCGTGTGACAGCTATTACCAGCTAATTGAAAGCGCCATTCGCCGGCAGAGACGCGAGGGCTCGTTCGAAGCGTGCCTCAGCGAGTGAAATAAAATCGGGATACGCTACCGGCACTCAATCTTTGCGCCAGTTGCCGGAAACGCAGCCGCCGCGCGGATATGCATATACGAGCGGCGCTCGTATAACAGCGCTTTACGAGTCGTCAATTGAAACATATCGGGACATTGATGAAATAAACGGTTCGATAACGAGCCACACCGGCGCGATATAAAGCATCAATCCGGTGAAAACAATGTCATATTAAAAGTAAATGTTGTCAAATCAATCGTGTTCACGTAGACACGGACATGTGCGTTTTCGCTTAGACGCACTCCCGCTTGTCGCGATAATAATAACATTCCCATTATTTTGTTTAAATCACGCGCGACGCGCGATCCATCTCGTTGTGTGTGTGTGTGTGTGTGTGTGAGAGAGAGAGAGAGAGAGAAACGTTCAATAAAGAATTACTTTGTGCAAGTGACGACGATGTATAAACGCAAAAAAGGAATTAGCGGAAGGAATTGGAACGTGGCCTTGGCAGTGGATGTTTGTTCGAAATGAGGACAGTTAAATTCACATTAACAGTCATTACTTAAAGCTTGTCTGAGATATTCACAGGTCCGAATTTAGAATCAGAGGAATCAAAGAGTTCTTCCCTTGAATCATATAATAAGTTACCTATATATAAAAAACGATAAATAATAATGTAAATAACATACGAAATTGTCGGTACGTGACGCTATATCGATAATTTCAATTCAACTGGAAAACTCAAGCGTCTAACTCTAAAGTCAAGTCTGAGATGCATATTAATAGTTGTTACTTGAAACTTGCCTCAAGTGAGATATTCAATTTAAAATTCAAAATTAGACTTGAATTTTTCAGTTGAATCGCCATTACAGATCAGATGTTCGATATATATCATACGATTCAGTTGAAGAACTCAGATTTAACCTTGAATTAAAATCTGAGTATCTCACATGATACATGTTTCAAGTGACAACTATTAATAGAAGCCTGAGTGTCTCACTTGAAATCAATTTACAAGTAAATAATTACTTCAATACTCTTTAGCGAATTTTTAGATCAAATAATATTTGCTTGATCCAAATCAAATATTTCCCAAGTATATTATCCGAATAAAATATATTTACTTGATCCAAGTAAAATTGATTTAATCTGGATGAAATTTATAAGGAGAATCTGAGTAACTATTTACTTGTATCTAACACTTTTTTCTAGGGACATCTTTATTAATCGCCTGTTATTAAAAAATATAAAATATAATATAATAATACATATATAATATATAAATAATATAAAGCATGAAATTTTTCATATATGCTACCAACGTCCTCTCCCAGCTTTTATCGGCCAAAATCAATTCTCAGTGATTTTTCTTAGTGATTAAGTTATCCCTTGGCACGACCGTGTTTAAAATCGAAACTGATCGGCCCGTTTTAGAGAGGAACCGAAGGCGCAACTTCAAATTCGATAAAAGCCAGACCGCGTCGAGATCGATTCACGTCGTCTCCAATATGAGAGATTCATATGTCGTTACCGAAGGTAAGACTTTATTTTTGCCATCGAAGGTGGTCTGCTGCTCGCGCGCCTCCGCGCACGATCGTCCCGATCGGACGTCAGCATCCGTTTCGCTCGTACGTTTATTTTTGTCAGCGTATTTCTGTAGTATACTCCCTATCATATGGTAAATATTTTATAACCGGTCGCCAGTAACGCGGCGAGCGATATCTGGTGATTCTCCGATCCGCACTACGTCTTCTTCGCTGTTGCGCCTTATTCATCTCGCTGCCTTCATCGCAGCAAGTTATAATATCTTACTTTTGACATTTTTTCACCTTTCTGCTCCTCCTCCTGCCTGCAGATTATGAGAGTAAGAGTTTATATTAAGAACGCTGCGCAAACACATGCGAGAAGATTAAGGCGCGATCGATTCCCGATACAAAACAAATCCGTTCTCGTCTCTCTCTCCCTCTCTCTCCCTCTCTCTCCCTCTCTCTCATTTCCTGTTTCCTTATTAATAATAACGTTGAAGATATATCGCGCTCGTCGTTCTGTGGAATTTCCCGGCTCGATATCTCTCCTGCCATTAACACTTTAATGGCCGCTCACACAACATGTATGCGATAGCCGGAACAACTGTTATTGTCCGCTCACACAACATGTGTGTGATGCTACCGCCGAAGGTTGTTGGCTAGTACCACACTCTGTGTGATGATTTATGAATGTAAACAAGAATTATTTCGTGAATTTTAATAAAGTTTTTTTCAATTAATTCTTCAAAAATATTGCCCCTGGCGACGTTTGACTGCGTAGACGTGCGGCCATTAAAGTGTTAATGAGCCTATTAGCGACTCTTTAAGACAGGACAGTTCAGCGAAATGAAAGAGACCTGTGCCGAAAGTATCCCGTCGGATCGATAAGTACAAATTTCAGCGTCGATGAACGTAATTCGGTGCGGCCACGAAAGTGTATGCCGAACGGAAGAATTTGTTAATTTCGTTCTCAAGCGAACTCATTATTCGCTTTGGTAGGTAAACGTGATTAACCAATGTTGGCGAATGTTAAGGAGGAGAAAAAGAGAGGAAAAAATGGAAGAGAGTACGCGGGAAATACAATTTTTGTACGAATTTTATATGGATACGTAGTTGTAATACGAAACTCGGTCTAATTATAAATATTATATATCTCATAATTATTTTATTATTAAAAATTACTTTTGTTATGCAAAACAGCGTGTCAGCTGCAGAAAATTGTATCCTAGTATTAGGTCATTTAAGTTTACACGGTAAAAAATGTTGTGAACACTTAACACATTTCACATGTCCCAAACGGTCCACCCAAATTTTGGTGTTAATTCGATCCACGGTGAATACGTTAAAAAGTAACGCGAATGTTATGTCAGAAATGTAACACTTTGACATCATTTGGAATATATTATTTTAATATTTTCACATGTTGAATATCGATTTAACATAAAAGATTGAAATAACATAATTGCAAAATATATTAAATCAATACGCAGGAATATTAAGAATCTAACAAAAATGTTAAGGACCGATATTAAAACAGAAGTACAAAATGTTTCTTACCGCGTGCATTTCCCTCGCAATGAAGAATATCGATGCGAAATTTCAGAACACCGGAAGTAAACTCAGCCGCTTTCGAGAGGCCGGCTTTCATTTCCTTTAATCGCAAAGTAATTACGAACGACAGACTTGCAAATCTTTAATTTAATAATTTAACAATCGCGAATTTTTCCGAATTTAACGAAGCTCCCGGAGGGAAGCACCTACGATCCAAGAGGGGAACCTTTTGCAAATTCTCTTCCAAACTTTCTCTCGCACGTAAGCTTGCGAAAACCAGGCCCGTTTGCTTTTCCCCTGTCTGACTCTACGGTAAAGTTACACGCGCTGAAATGAGTATCGCGATAATACACACCGCGTTAAAACGCGCGAGATGCTGCGAGAATCGGCTGGCTCGCATAAACCGGCATAACGTGCTGATTACTGTCGCGATTAGGTGCTGGATCAACGAGGGCAACTATATGAACGTGCTTGTTTATCCTGTATGCGTATCGACCATGTTGAATCTACTCTTCCTGTTTAACATCGTGCGAGTACTACTGATGAAGCTGCGCGCCGGCCCCGCCATCGGAACGCGCCCATCGCGATCCATGCTGCAGGCTTTCAGGTGACGCACACTGAAATTCTTTACGCTTGGTATGCCACCCCTCACGTCGATGAGACACGTTGCGAGAAAAGAGCACGGAGGTAACGAACGTGTCTTCCGCGCGGTAATCATCGACTGAAACGCATTCTCCTCACGGGGGGATTATCAGCGATTGCTCCCCCGACCAAACCCTTATCGGGATTCGCCCGGCGACTTCCGAGAGCGTCGTTAGACGGCAATAAATTTCTCATTGTCGTGGAACGTACGTCGTTTCAAAACGTCCGCGCTAATGTACTTGAAACAAAAGACGGGCAATTCGGCACACGATCGCTGATAATTCGTTCGTTGCGATAGAAGGAAAATTCGTTCTCCCCGAGTGCGGATGATTATCGTCAGATTTACGAAAATGGGATATCTAATATTTTGTCATCAGGGCGACGTTACTGTTAGTACCCCTCTTGGGCCTTCACTATTTAGTGATCCCATTCCGACCGCCCAAAAAGCATCCTTGGGAGCAGTTTTACGAGGTCCTTTCTGCGATGACGGCTTCCTTCCAGGTTAGTGCCTGTAATCTTTATCGATGCCCCTCGAGAAAGTTTCTACTGTACAAACTGATTAAACTAATTAAGTCTGAATAATAATATTAATAATAATAACGACGATAATGATTTATTTACTTATTTATTTATTTGCGGAAAAAACAACCTTTGACGCGCATGTGTGCATAAATTTCTGCATGGAAAAAAATTAGTCTCAAGAAATCTTCTAAGAATGTCATAATATTCTTGTTTGTACAAAAGAATATATATCATTGATTTAAGACTACTTTTTTCTGCGATTTATACAACGTAAATAACGAATAAAATTATCAATTATCAATTAATGATTATTAGAATTTAACGTTTTGAAAGGATTTAAAAATAGGTGAGAGGACGAAGCAAACTATGTCTAAATGCGCATGGCGAATTACGAAACAGGTCAATAGATCCAGAATATGATGATGATAATGATGACGATGATGATGATGATGATGATGATATGATAATGGTAAAAAATAATACTTTACTGTATCCATAATACTGTATCCATGTAAATGTTAGTCGACACATAAAAGTCAGTTGCTGACGTGATCGTACGATGAACATATCGGAGTATTTTCTCAAAAAATTGTATCGTACATGTTATTAAACGATGCGTGTCTTGTTAAAACACAGCGGACGTATCGGAAAATTTTGCTCACATAGACATGCTCTATTACGTGCAATCCGTCGATTCCGGATATTTCGAGACATTCGTCATCGCGAGATTAAACCACCCGTCATTTTTCCGCAAATTCTTGGCGCAATGTACAACGTATGAAAAAAAAAGAAAAGGAAACTATACGAAGTAAACAAATAAATTGACGAATGAAGTTTGGGAACGTTAAAACACATGAAATATTTCGGATACGGTCCAATTTTACATACGCTGATTGCTTTTCATAACAAGAAACAGGATTTTTATATTCTTGCAAAAACTGTCAAGCTCGAAACTGGAAACTCGAATAGCCGGAAAATGTTGCAGTTAAAGAAAATATGTACACGTTTACTCTTTGTGAAGCGTGTCACAGCCATTTGTTCTCTTAACGATTAAAATCAGTCGCGTCAGGGTTATATATGCCGTTTTGTGCATACGTGGTAAAAAAAGAAATACATGCGCAAATCGTACACAGGGTGTCCCAAAATTATCACATTCACATGCAGCAGCGAGTGTGTCGGTCGACTTGGGCTTTTCTCGACGCGTCATTCTTCGAGACATTAATCATTCTTTGTACAAACGACAAGAAAGAACTAACTGTTAACTTTTCCCCGCAAAATGATTTTTCAAGAGAACGTTGATAAGTCTCAATTTTGATATCGTTCGGACCTATCCCGACTCCGAAAACATTTCGACTTCCCCTGGAAAAATTCATTATTAAGCGCTGAAAATAAGACGGTGGAAAAGTATGGAAAAATAACAATCCCTCTTATGAAATCTTCGCCGAGCAAAGCTCCATCTTAATTAAAGCAGTCACAATTGCAGAACAGTGATAGCTCCGCGACTTTCCGTACAATAAAAGACTTTTATATGCACGCTTTCTAATATAACGTAAAACATAAAAATAATCTTACAAAGGGAAAATTCCGCCAATTGCGATCGCAACTTGGACGATTCTCGTTGCGCGAAAGTTCTGTAATTCAGTACAGAATGTCCCCGGACTTGAAGTAAAACCATTGTTCCGTTAGTTATTAACCGAGCGCTTAATATTCCCGTTCGACGCGATAAACACAATAAAATGCCATCGGAATAAATGAGCATTGTTCTAAGTCCTTGTTGGAAGCAATCGTGCTTATATGCGCATCAAGCGATCAAATTTTACAGCGAATTGCGCTTTCATGCACGACACCGGCGACGTGATTGCATTGTTATATACCCACTTCATGTCGTATAAAATTGTATCGACGGAAACACGATTTTATTAAACGTTTCTATCAAATGAAGCGTTTATCTTGGCATTATTAACGCCCTCGGTTCGCTCGTTTTATTTTATCGGGAAAACTCGATCCTTGAAACGTGCGCGTCTTAACAATGTTGCGCGTAACGAAAAACGCCGCAAAAATCTGTCGTTTCTGTCTTCGCAATTTCTTAGCTACATTTATTCGGCCACCATTTGGACGACGATTATTTCATACAGGGCAAAAATATGCGAGGGAACGGTAAAATCGGCAAAGAATAAATGATCGTTTTGGAGCGTCGATTCTCTGCGTGTAAAAAGAAGACTCGAATGCACGTTTAGCACACGCACCAAACTTAGCATGTATTTTCCCACAAGTAATATTAATTACATTAATATTCGAATCGCACCGGAACATTTGTACATCGGCTCTCGAAGGCCATAAAAATACATTTGTTTTCCCAAGGTATTGAAAACGGTAATGATTATTGTCCCACCGTGTTGTATAAACGTATATAAACCGAGGGAATATACCGATCTCAATTAATATTTCCATTTTGCGATGTCCCCGCACAATCTCGCGCAATCTCGCGAAACAGCGGGGGGG